AGCTGTGGGTGTTATGCAGCCCTGACATACAGCAGCTTTTCAAAGCCTTATAGGACACTTTCCACAAAGTGACTTGAGTCTGCTACTTACAAACCAGAGCATGGGATGCTCAGCACCAGCGGAAAGAGGAAGTTGGGGTAAGAGTGGGAAGGGTGACGAGGAGGGTGATGGCAGCTCCTCTGTGGTTGCTGTTAGCGAGTGCCAGGGTGGCCCAGAGCCCTTATCAGAGAAAGAGGAGTCACATGAGGTAGCAGACAACTCCTCTCTAATGGACTTACCACCTAAATAGAGGTCACTTTTGTTGTTAACATTATTTCATAAGTTAATGGTTAGTGCCCAGAAAGCACATCTTGCTCCTACAGGGTCATTTCAGTTGCCAAACACAGGTTTCAGATGCCACTGGAGATGCCCTAGACATCAAAGCAACCTTCCCAGGTTCTCAAATATGACACAAAGAGTCAAAAACTCACATCCAAGACCAGCTCCAGAAAGCCAGATCACATAGTTCTGGGCTGTTCAAATGGCACTAAGTGACTGTGGTTAAGAAGCAAAGATCCCTGAAGCCTGGTGTGTGATTCACAGCTCCCTGAAGCAGGTACCTGTTGGGTGATACAGAGCAGATACCTACTGGGTAATGAGTTGAATCAAACTTCAGGCAACAAGCTAGCCCAGAGAAGGATGCAGACCTGCTTTGGATGAGCCACAAAGGCATTTATCCATCTCAGCAGTGAGACCAGGCGTAGCATGTGTGCCAGGACTCAAGAGGCAGATGAGAGCTAGAACCTTCCTAGGCTAGCTGAAGCCTCTGTTAGTATGTTGTTGGCTGACACAGGCACTATGCAATAAGAACAAGACAAACATTTACAACAATAGTTCGTCTGAAAGTCTGTGTTTCTTTCATTAGTCACAGTGCTCAGGAAACATCTGTATGGGACAAGGAAGTTTCTCACTGTTATAAGTACTTCCACTCTCTGTTGGTTTTGGCTTGGGTAGAGTTAACTGTCTTCATATTAGCTAATACCAGGCTATGTTTTGGATTTGTGCTGGAAACAGTGTTGATAATTCAGGGATATTTTAGTTATTGCTGAGCAGTGCTTACATAGTGTCAAGGCCCTTTCTGCTCCTCACTCCACCCCACCAGCGAGTAGGCTGGGGGTGCACAAGAAGCTGGGAGGGAACACAGCCAGGACAGCTGACCCCAGCTGATCAAAGGCATATTCCATACCATACGACGCCATGCTCAGCAATAAAATCTGGGGGAAGAAGGAGGAAGTGGGGGATATTCGGAGTGATGGCATTTGTCTTCCCAAGTCACCGGTAAGTGTGATGGAGCCCTGCTGCCCTGTCCTGTCTGAGCACCTGCCTGCTCATGGCAAGTGGGAAACAAATTCCTTATTTTGCTTTGCTTGTGCATGCGCAGCTTTTGCTTTACCTATTAAACCGTCTTTACCTCAACCCACGAGTTTTCTCACTTGTACTCTTCCAATTCACTCCCCCATCCCAGTGTGGGGAGGGGGGGAGCGAGTGAGTGACTGTGTGGGGCTTAGTTACTGGCTGGGGTTAAACCACAACAACTCTGAGGTGTGAGCTGACAGATAATCCAAGAGTCATTTTTAACTTGAATACCTCTGACTTACTCAGATTTTCATTTAGCAGTTATTAGGTATAACATGACCATGTCAGACAGGCTTTGATGAAGTTAGGCAGGACTACATACTTCAGAGAGGGGCAAAGGTATCTCTACCACACTTTGCCTTATCCAGTGAAATTTACACCCATGTTTTAACCTACATCAGTAATCTCACATCAGTCAAAAATGTGGCTGCTTCTCTTCTCCTTGCAAGATTGATTGTATGTAGGCTGTTTAGCAAATATTTTATAGCAATATTTGTATCAAAAGTATTACTACGAAGCTAACTGAGCTTGCACTGAAAGGTTTCATCAGAGTATCTTGGAAGAGGGGCTGGCTATTAAAAATAATTCTTCCACTTAAGTAGTGTTCCTATGTGAAAACAAACAGCTTCTAGATGTCCAGGTTACAGTCATGTTCTATGCCAGCATTGTATTGCCTTTGGAGAAAAAAAAAAAAAAAAAGTAAAAAGTGCACTGCAAGTAAAAGGACAGGAAGGAAGAAATTTATCTCCTACTTCACTGATTCATCTATCTACAGAGGAGTGCTGTTTCAGATGAGATGTCGATAGTCCTATATTCTATATTCTTTATACTTTGTTGCCTTCTGCAAAGTATAGAAGATAGAGAAAAATAATTAAGGCTGGTATGAGAAAGAAAAAAAATTAAAGAAACTCTACACGTAGCGCCTGTCAGTGTTGAAACAAGACAAAAAAATGCATCCTTATTCAGAGTTCCCTCAGCCAGTGCCATGAAAAGCTCCACCAGGTGGTGGGATTAACACCACTTGAAATATGCTATGGAGCTGGATTTGCTCTTACTCCTTTGATTTTAGAACCACATTTCTGCTTCACTATGCTTCTGAAAATACTTCTTTTAAAAGCTCCTAATAAAAATGCATTACTACTATCATTTAACAGCAGCATTTGCAATGCACTGGACATAAAAGATGCTGTTATAACCTGGAAGATGGAACCACCATCTGCATGACCCTAATTTCCCCTCAAATTACTGCCAGGTTTACATAAACAAGAAATCAGCTTGATAAGCAGGTACAAAGTCTTATATAAAATCATGTTTAGTTTTAAAACTTTTTACCTTCCTCAACTGAGATGCCATCACGCTTATTAATATCAAGTTTGGAAGAAAAACTGCAAACAAGGCTACAAGTTCCTTTCTGGCTGGAATGTGTGAAAAATTCATACAAACAGGGCAACTCTCTGACTCTGTTGCACAATCAGACTGTGCACCAAGTGAGAGAGCCAAAAGGATAAGGAACTGGATTTTTCTCTTCTTTTGCTCTTTCTTACATGCTACTAGCAGAAAGGTAACATAAATGTATATTAGACAGAATTTTACTTTAAAAATCTAGCGGCAGCTTTAAAGCTGGTTTAGCAGGACCGTAGCCTGGGACTTTGTTGCGGCACAGTATTTAAATCTGTTGCCACTGAAATATTATCTTACAGTAGCCTTACAGTAGCACCAAAATAAAGTAAATGAAGTAAGAAATTGGCAGAGGAACAAAGCACCAAGTTCACCATAGACCTAGGCTGGGGTTTTGTTGTTTCCAGTATAATGAAGAAAACAAGTGGCTTTAGCTAATAAACAAATCCACCTTTTTTATTCACATCCAACCATTCCCTCCTCCACCCCCAGCCACCTTCCGAACATGTGTTCAAACAGATTGAGAACTGTCGTGTTCCCCCCATGAGCACAGAAAGGACCTCAAGCACAGACGCGACCTGCAGATAACCACTGTGTCATTGCCAAAAGCAGAAAAGAGAACTGGGGGGCCAACCCTAACTTTTTCTAACATGAGAGCAGCTCTGTGGAGGTATTGACAACAGTGGGCAGAGCACTGCTGGGTTTGGATCAAGCTGTAAAAATTGAGGAGGGCTGAACTTACCGGCTGCAGAAGGCACTGACTGGCATGGATAGCGTGGGACGCTATGGATGTAGTGATCCAAATATCTCAAAGCAGATGCTCCACACAGAGCCACCCCTTCAGCTAAAACCATGTAAATAATATACAGGAGGAGCGTGCTGATAATTGAGTATCTTCCGAACTGCCAAGAGGCAGGAAAACTCCAGTTAAAGGCAACGCTTCATTTCAACTTATGTCACTGAAGAGCACCAACATAAATGAACTCCTGAGGAGAGGATCAAAGTAGAGTAAGGACTCTCTTTTCTTATAGTCTTGAATTTCCTGTCCCTTTTCCACACTGAAATTTAATTTCCTTTACAAAGAGAGCTTTTGGAGCTTATAAAAATTGACCCAAAAGATTATAAGGGCTTTGTCACCCTTCCAATCTCTCTGAAAGATCCATAATTAGGGAGGTTTTTCCTTTAACATGTGTGCCCAGCAGGCAAATATATAATTCAGACTTACAATTATATATACAATGAGTTATTTCAGTGTATTGGATACATATAAGCCCAACTGTCACAAAGAGTTGAAAAATCTTGTGTGTCTTAAACAAGTAAATATGCATCAAGGCATTTTTGTTTTACCGCTTTGTTTTCATTTATGCCAAGACTAAAAGCATTCATAGTAAGGATCTGGGATGTATGTTTGTTACAGAGATAAATATATCAAGTGCAATAAAAACACAACTAATAACCAAATTGCTGACCTCAAAGATTAGTTATTTATACTCCACTGGAAATTAATTCTGCAAGCAGAGATGTGCAAGCAGGTACCTAAGACAGCCAGTCTGCTTTTTTGCCTCTAAGAGAGTCATACTGGCTTCCCTCTCTCGCCGCACAGCCTACCCAAGGGGAAAAAAAAAAAAAAAAAAAAAAAAAAAAAAAATCAGGGTGCAGGACTCGGCCAGGCTGCTCCACCCGCTGCTCCCCGCCTGCCAGCGCCCACCCTGCAGCAGAGCGGCTCCTCCGCGCGGGGCAGGGGGCAGGACCGGTCCCCCGTGGACCGGGGGATGCCGTGGGGCTGCCTGCGGGGGCGGCGGGAGGGTGTCCCTCGCGGGGCCCGGGGCATCGCCTTGATCCGGAGCCCACCTCGGCACTCGCAGCCTCCTCTCTGCCCCCCTCCTCCAGGGAAATCCTGGCTGGATGGGGAAAAGCCTCCCCGCTCCGGACTGCCGGGGACAGCCGCCGGATGATGCTGGAAGCTCCGCCAGCAGCGAGGCCACCCCCCCCCCCCCCCCGCTCCGAAATACTAATAACAATTCAAAACCAAAACAACTTAACAGCCGAATGAGGAGCTGGAAGGGAGGGGGAGGCTCCCGCCGCGCCTTTTGCAGCAGGGGGGGGAGGATTTGCAGGTAAGCGGGGAGGAAAGCGAAGGAGGAGAAGGGAGCAGGGGGTGGAGGGGGGGTGGGTGGGTGGGGGGGGGGTTGTCCCGCGGTACTCACGGCGGGGCGTGGGGAACTGGCGGGCCGCCGAGCCCCATGGCCAGGGAGGGGAAGGGCGGTCGCTGCTGCTGCTGCTCCTGCTGCCGTGGCCGCCGCCGCCTCGCCGTCTGCCTGCGCTGCCCGCGGAGCCTCTCCGGGCGCCCCGTCCCTCCCCTTCCCCCCCGCAGGGCTTCCTGCCCGCTTATAGCGCGCCCCCAGCCACGTGGAAGGCGCTGGGGGCCCCCCGGCTCCTCCTCGGAGCGGGGCAGGGCTGTACAGGGCTGTACCTCTCCTCCTCGTCCCCTCCCCTTCATCCACCCCCCCCACACACACACACCACCACCACCACCGCGCCGCGGAGCGGGGCTTGCGCGCCCGCGGGGCGGAGAGGTGCGCGCCGCGGCCGTCGGGGCTGCGGGGGGCTCGGAGTGGCCAGCTCAAACTTCCCCCCCACCCCCCCGAGCGGGGTGAAATCCCTGCTGCCGGCGTGACCTCCCCAGGGGGTCACCACCCAGAAATACCTGTATTCTCACCCCCCCACCCCGCAAGTCCTGTGTCTGAAATCGGGCTGTGCGGGTGCCGAAGGTGAGCGCAGCGGGGGGAGCGGAGACAAATCCCGTGCTTCTCAGAGGAGAAAACGTACGTTGCATCATTAATAATAATAAAAAATAGCCCATAGTAAATAATACCTTCCTTCGGTCCAGCATGAGACATTTTTAAGGTGACTATAAAACGCCGCAGAATTAAAAAGAATGCAGCATCATTAAAGAATCCCCCAGACAGAGACATTCAACTGATAAAGTGTCTGCTAAAACTATTTAACAACATAATGCTGGCTTTTTTAGTGTCGATGTGTAAAGGCTGGAGCCAAGACGAGAAGTGGGGAGGTGATAGCACCTACAAGGAAGCAAATGATCTCCCTGATCTTCTCTCCAGTCTCTGTTTTCCCCACCACCACTCCACCCTCCCCAGCCCCGTGGGCAGTGTAACATGCACAGTGAACATCCACAGCACATGTCAGAGGGGCGAATGTGTTCCTGAGCTTTGAGAAACACGTTCCTTAGCACTGGACAGCCAGTGCATAACTCACTTTGTGAAGTGGATGAGTTTATAGGTTATTAATCTGCTTACTGAAACTGCCCACGTTGTTGGTTTATTACATCCAGCACAACATACCTCCACTGGAAACTGTAACACTCTACGTAGGAGCTGTAAGTCATCAATCATCACTGAGCTTGTTTCCATAGAGTTATATTAGTAAAAGCTTAAGTGTGAATTTAGACCGGTGTCACATCATGTACCGCGCTGTGGAGATATTTGCATTTGGGTGTGAGTACCTGAGCTTTCTGCTTAGGAGCGTAAGCCCATACAAAACCTTCAAGGGGCTCACCCCTTCTCTAAATGCTGCCCCTTGGTACTGCAAAGCAACATAGTTTTATATCCTTCATAAACAGGGCTTGGAAGTGACTTAATCTAAAGTAATGAGGTCAAAAACAAAAACAAAAACAAACTAGTTGTCTTTTACAAGGAATGTATGAACACAAGGAATTACTGCGTGGGGGAAACAGTGTATTAAATAGCTTTTCACTGCTTTTTCCCAGGAGCTGCTTGCCACTTTGCTGGAGGTGGGGTAGGGCCCTTGAGGAGCTCCAATTTGATCACCTGTGACAGTTCCTGCAACTCTCTCGACTTGATACTCTCATACCTTCAGGCAAATCAGTTGAATTTGCTGCTTCATTTCCTTCCTGATGATTGTGGGTGAGCAGGTCTGTTTATGAAAAAATCACTGGGGAACAGCTCACCAGCAAAAAGGCTGTGCATCAAGTTTGGAGTTCTCTCCCAAGCACTTTTGCAGTGATGGAGGGAGTGAGTGGGTGATGAGGGCTCTGAAGGATATCCTATAAAAGCAACAGTGCCTGGGGAAGGACGAGTCTGAGCACTCTGTATTTCAGCAGCTGTTGCACCACATCTGGTCTGTCAATGAGTTTAACAGAAAAAGAATGATTCTAGTAAAACAAGTGATTTCTCATCATACAATATATAAAGTTTTATTAGTTTGTCTACAGGTTGTATCAAGGAAAGTGCCTTGCAGTCAAGAATGTCCTAAGCAATGACAACTAATCAAGATGACACTGGAACATGTTGCTCAGAGAAGCTGTGGCTGCCCCCTCCCTGGAAGGGTTCAAGGCCAGGTTGGACGGGGCTCTGAGCAACCTGGTCTGGTGGAAGGTGTCCCTGCACATGGCAGGGGGTTTGGAACTAGGTGATCTCTAAGGTCCCTTCCAACCCAAACCATTCTATGATTCTACGACTGAAGAAAGGGTGCATGTGATAATATATGTTTTTCTCTTCATTTTCATTCATATTTCTGCATCATTTATCTAGAGTACACAAGGGGCAAGATATGCTGCGCCCCTCCAGCCTCAACAGCCTTGGTTGTTAGAAGTTGCAAGGTGGAGACGTGGAAGCAAGCTCTGCAGTGGCTGGGTTTGGTTGGAAAAGCTCCTTTTTGTAGAGCAAGACAGAAAAGGAGGGTGGTTGCCCCAGGGGTGCCTCAGGGAGGCATGACACAGACATATGGGTGGAGCATGGAGAAGTGCCTCAGGTCTCTGCTAGTGTCTGGTTGAGCCAAGAGCAGAGAACAAGACCAAATCCTCCCAAAACAGCAAATCTGAAACCGACTTCCCTTTGTTATATCAGTGGTACACTCAGTTAACTCCTTTGGATGCTCTCAACTTCACCGATGCACCCCAATGAGCATACAGGTAGCAAGTGCTCTCCGATAACGCCACAGTAATTACAGGTGCCCTTTATACTGTAGCATTTCCCTAGCAAGTGTCATTTAGCTGTTTTTGGGAAAGAATCCAGGATTTGTTTCACAGACAGTATTTCCTCAACAGCTCACTGAATATGAAATAGTTTGAACTAACCATGCAAATCTCACTTGCCTTCTTATGTAGGGAAATGATATCTATTCTAAACTCTGGGCCAGGGCTTTCAGCTGCTGACAGGGGAGACATCAAAGGAACTATATCAGCTTTCACCAAGTGGGGATCCAGCCCATTATTCATATTTCCAAATTCAGAAACTGTGTCTAAGTAAGGCATCTTTCTCTATATTTTTAAGTAGCCAGTATTTTATTTTATGGCTGTTCCCTCAGTGGTAGGATTGTTTCTTGTAGTCAATGTTTAAAGGCCCTTCAAGGCTGAAGGAATTATAAATGAATAATTTAAGGCTGGTCTATGATGCAGAATTTTTAACATATGTTTTACAGACCATGTAGAACAATTTTTTTTTTTTTTTTTTTTTGTCTTGTCAGTAGATATTTTACAAACATGCTGTGCTGGAACCAAAACCCTTTTTATTTAAAACTCATATTTGAGCCCTGCTATGCACTGACACAGCAGTATGCTGGAGTCTACAAGCCATAACAAGGAAATCATTATCACCAGCACTGATCAGAGAAGAGGAGGAATGAAGCAATTTCAACGCTTTTTCCTCTTACGTGCACCAGTAAACCAGATGTGGGTAGAACTGTAGCTTTCCCATCTCAGAAAGCCTCATCCCAAGATAGAGACAGAAGAGCTGTAATTTGTTTAACCTAAAGCTACAAAAGGACTGGACCCAGGTGACATTGGAGGTGGCATAAGACTGTGATGCTCGCAACATGCTGGCTTTTGGCTATTTTTTGAAAGTTGGCTGGAATATAATTTTTTCAACCTCCTGTTAAATTCCTAAACAATGTAGTGCTAGGAATGTCAGCTTAGTCACTCTTGGCAGTTTTAATAAGCAATGCTAATTGCTGGTAAATAACCAATGATTCACCTTTCATAGATTTAATTTCTTGCCCCTTCCTAATGTCTTGCAACAGCAGAGGGAGGAGACATCTACTTTGTGGATGCTCAAGATCAGCCCAGGTTTCAGTCTTGTGGACTGGTTTCCACATTCTTCTTCGTTTTCCTGGATTGTCCAGTTTTTCATTTCTATTTTATAGTTACTCCAAATTTGCAAATAAAACAAAATAATTTTGATTATTTTAAAAGCTTTTTGGGCCCCAAACCAATTTCAAGTATTTCGCAAGACATAAGGTTAGGCACTACACTGGGAGAATGCAGATTCAGGCTTGCCTTTGCTCTCCCTTTATTTCCTCTCCCTTCATTTGCTCTCCCTTCAGTAGGTAATCTGTTATCTTTCAAACAAGCCAATTGCCATTGTGTCTAGGCCAAGAAGAAGAAGTTAAAATAGAAAATCAGCATTTGGTGTGTACGCGGTTGCCAAGAAGCTATTTCTCCTTGCCTGTGTAAATAAATTGTCATTCAGAAATGGTTGGCTTGTTATAAAAGATGTGCAAAGTGCTAACATGGCACCGTGTTCCCAATGGGAAGAAAAAAGAGAGGATCCAGGAGTGTGGCCAGCTAAAGCCCCATCTCCAGCTTCCCTCACTAGTTCTGTCAAAGGGGACCATTCTTTGCACAGGCTAAAATGTCACTGGATAATTGCTGTTTCCATTAACATAGTGGGAGTGATTACTGACCTTGCCAGTTATGTCCCCAGTCCAGGACCAAGCTCCATGCAGGTGGATCCCTTAACAAGGCAAAGTGATTTACTGGTAAATCTATATATTTTTATGTATCTAATCATTCATGTTTATTATGTATTGTGCAGACACACCTATTGATTGACACAACTAGCTGTGTGAAAGATTAAACACTTCCAACGAAACTTTATAAATGTGAAGCTAAGAATATTGACCACAAATGGACTCTACACAATTTGTTTATTATGATTGGTAAGGGAGACAAATGGTCTACATATATCTTATCTCCACTGAAGAGGTAAAAGATGTTCTGTATTTGAATATGTAAGAGGCACTGCCCTTATGCACATTATACACAGTGAGAACGAACTCTCTAATGCTATCTGATGGCACTTGACTTTGCCATAATTGATAGACAGATTTATCTTGTTTGGTTTGCTCTTCTTGGCTTTCTTTTTTTTTTTTTTTTTTTTTTTTTTCAAACAACACCCTGCACTTCAGACATGTTGCAGAACTGTGATAGTGTCCCCTGATCCAAAGCCTTCTAAAGGCAACTGGTAAGAGCTCAGAGATTTAAAATGGACTTTTAGATAACATCCTGAGCCTCCATACTTCACAGAATCAGACTCTGGCATTGGGGTGCCTTAAAAACAAAGAGAAAAGAAACAAAAATACATGTAACATCCTTCCATGCTTGCTCTTGGAGTTCAAACAGTGAGAAGCAGCAAGAGCTCAGTGGTACTAATATATGG